TTGCCGATAATGGGGAGCGTGGGCCTGGTGGGACTTTCCGGCCATCTTTCCGGCAGGCGTCGGCGATTCGGCGGCGGTGATGGAGGAGGAGAAGGCAGAGGAGGACGAGGAGGGTGGGTAGAAAGAAGGGATACATAAATGTCAAGCGCGAGTGACGGGGTGGGAGGATTGTGACAAACACGACTGCAATATATAAATAAAATATGGCTAGTTGGCAACATGACAGTTGTTAGCCGTCCCTCTTTCCTGGCCTCATTGGCGGCCACCGCCGGAAACGGATTTCAAAATTTTTAAAAATGGATGTGTTTTGCAATTCCGTTGAGAAGGAAGCAATTTATAAAACGATTTTTCTATTTCCAAGAAACAGGCTTAAGGAAAACAAATCCAATCATGTAAATCAAAACACACGTGCATTCAACAACTTGCAGATAAAGTGGAACCTTCTATACAATAAAAAAAAATTCAATATTTACTAGCTGTAAAATAGCATATTCACATTTTTAAAACGTGTGTGACATCACCCTTATAATTCCGTCTTTATCAACCCTTTCAAAACTCAAATCGACCGCGAATTTAATTTAATTTCAATTCTTTTGTTAATCTTTACTTATAATTAAAAAGAATAAAATTTTAATTTATTCCATTAAAAATAGAAAATGGATAAACAAAGTTATTACAATTATAAATAAAAGATATATAAAATAGAAAAAATCAAAGAAGTGTTTGCTTAATTTACACTATAAAAAGTGGTTTTTATATCAAAATTGCCCTCAGTTAATAATTCGCTATGCAACTTGATATTCGTCCATTTGGATAAACTTTTCTTGGAAGTGGTTTCTTACAAACTAATTTTTTAAAAAAGTTCTTTTTAACTTTGGATGTAAAAAATAAAAGTACTTTTTTTTTTATAATAAAATTACCATCAAAGGCTGTAAGTTTTTTCCCTTCTCTACTTTTCTTCTTTGTTTTGGGTTTTGCAAATAGATGATGGCCGGACCAGCTCAGCCCGAATTCATCTGGGTGCTTTTTTCCCTTCCCAAAAACTTGGGAACAAACCCGAATTCTTGCAAACTTAACCCGAACACTCCTAAATCAATTTAAACCCCTGACCTTGTTCTCAAACTTCTATTGATGGCTCGTAAATGAAGTATTCTGACTGACAAACAAGTCCTTAAACTTGGTTTTTGAAACCAGCGGTCACATATGGCGAATTTCTAGCGAAACTAAGGCGAGGTACCAAGGCACACTTTTTGCAAAATTTAACTAAAATAGGAGGAATTTTATCAAATTACTTGAGAGTTTTTGGGTGAGGACCTCATTACGCCCTTATATAGGCAATTAAGGAATGAATCAATCATCGACATAGCTCAAATTTGTCCTCCTCTGTGAGTCGATAGTCAGCTGAAAATTTCCTATTCTCCTTCATTTGGCAACCCGATTTTGTTTCTTCTCAATTGGACCCCCTGTTTAATTTTGGTCTCCCAAATTTTATTTCCTTCATTTCGGCATCCATCTCATTTTATTCCAATCCTCCAACTTGTAGGGTTTTCTCTCAAAACCTTCTTTATTTTCTTCCAATTCCGGCCTCGAAATTTGTAATTAACTTCAATTCTTCTATTCCATGCAGTTAAATCCCTCACAGTTGCCAATTGACCCCAATTCAATTTAATTCCCTTAATTAAGCCCTCCAACATAATAACTAAATGAATTCTTAATTAATATAACCAAAATCAAGGCTATTACAAGATCGCTCGATTGATGAATAAGAGGTTCAAAACTCTCAATAAAATGGCAAGAACGCTTTTGTCACTTCTCTTAAAATGTAGGTTTATTTTTATCCATCCAACTTTTTTCCGCCTTCTATGCATCCTCTCTGTCTTCTACTGCACGGGCTAGTCAAGAAAAGCTAGTGGACTAGCTTCTGATTTTCTTTTCTTCTTTTCTTTTTTCACTTGTTCATATAAAAATCCCAACCCAACAAACTATTTTACACCAAAAGTGTTTTTTGAAAAAAAAAAGCAGCTTTTGTCCTTTTGTGAATTATGCCTATCTAAATGCGCCTAGTGGACGTGGTGTCAAACAAGACAACATAGACACGGGACCGACACGATTAAAATTTTAAAATATAGATATTTTATATTCATCATATTTATAGTTAGAATATTTTAAATAATTAAAAATAACACCAATATTTAATAATCAAATTAATTTAATAATACTTAAACACAATTTGACATAAATAAAATATTTATAATTTTAGAGTAATCATTTTGTTGCCTAATTATATGACATATGTTTCAATTTTTATGTTATTTTTGTAAAAAAAGTTAATATTAGATAATTTTTTTTATTATTTTATTACCTAATTATATGATATATGTTTTAATTTTTATATTATTTTTGTAAAAAAATTTATATTAAATAAATTTTATTAGATATAAAAACATGTACATTTATATTTTATGTGACCTGACGCGGTTTGTCCTTATAGAAATATATAAAGATTCAAGTACAAGATTATGCGTAATTCCTTGGAGATTCTTGATTGGTGCTAAGCCAACTACCGTGCAAAGATTCAAAACGTTTATTGACCCCACACGGTACAGTTATTTTCAAAATTACTATGTATAACTTTTAAACAATAGTTATAGCAGTAAATGTTTTTTGTAATTGTATTTAAAAGTAAAATAATTTTTATTTTTATAAAAATCTTTACACAAAATTATGTCTTTAAATCTAAAATTTATATTTTAAATCAAACTCTCAAATTTTCAAACTCACGCTCTCCTAAACCCAATTTTTATTAAATAAGAGTGTTGTAAATAAAGAGAAATAAGCAGTCTTCTCTTTAACCACATCTATGGTAATAAATATAAATATACATGAATTTTTCACGACCTAACTCCAGGGATCCCAACGGGCACCAAAAAATAGTACTACCATTCCTAACAAATCTCAATTTTACTAAAATATTCTAAATATTAGATTTTTCAAAAATTTTGACAGAGTTTACTTTGAAAATTAGACATATCCAAATTTTATAACTTATAAATATTTTCATAAAATTTGTACAACATCCAAAAAAATTGTCAACTAAAATATGATGCATAAAAGGATCTTATTTATGACTCAAATGGAGCATATTATTACGTGTTTAGCACACTTTTTTAGCAAGTGTATTAGCTGTTACAAGTAATAAAATGCGAGTAGGGTGTCAATCCCATGAGAATTGTGTTCAAATTCTTTCAACTTAACTTTTATATTAATTCATAAAATTCAATTTTAAAGGAAAAAATTTAAGAACTAAAAATAGAAATTTAAAATAAAAATCTAACTAATGGAGGAAATTAAGAATTGTATAGGAAAGAGAGTGTAGATCAAAAATATATGAAAGAATTTGTTAGGAGAACTGATTTTGTTAATGTTACCTTCATTTTACTGGTTTTTATGAATTAAGTTTGAATCTTGGGCCGCTAATATTCATAAGATGACGGAATTTTCAAAACTTTTAGTCTTATTACCAGACTGATTAAAACCATATTAAATATGAATAAACTTGTCAATCTCCACTGAACCCTACATAATTTACCAAAATTTAAGATGCATTAAGTTCAATAAAATCCTTACATATAAGCATATTACTAAACTACCAAAACAAGTCACACATAATTTACCCAAATTTAAGATGCATTAAGTTCAATAAAATCCTTACATATAAGCATATCACCAAACTACCAAAACCAAACTACCAAAACGAGTCATACAAGAGACATTAGGCATTCTACTAAACTATCTACCCTCACATGTATCAGACAATATGCCATGACTAGTAACAAAAATTAATTTCAAATTTCAATCCAGCTTAGTAACTGGGACTTAACTAGCATTAAGAATTTTATTAGGGCAATTTACTATACAAATTATTTTACTACTTATTACAGTATAGATAGCATACATGTATATATAGATTTTTAGAAATTCAAAAATTAAAAATCATCTCTGTTCTACAATTTTTGTCTGGGCTACAAATTTTAAGACCCCCATTCAGCATTTTCTCCGTTTCGAATGTCTTCAGGATTTTGGCTCAAGCGATTCCCTAGCTTCAATTCAGCGATGATCCTGCTTGCTTTCTCCTTCCCAAACTCTTAATACAGCTAATTTACCCCACATTTCATTTCCTTTATTAAATGACTTAAATTAAAAGAGTACTTAAAGTGACTTAAACCACTTGAATTCTTTTAAGTAATAAGAAATTATCTGTTTAATTAGATAGAGTTAAAAGCTTAATTTAATGATGAATTACTAATTATTGGATAAAAAATTGAAAGAAATTTAATTAATTGCTATTATTTTCCATTTATTTTTAATTATTACATTATATTTATTTGTTATTTACCTTTTTTTTTTTTTACAAAATATGAAGTAGTTTGGAGAATAGATTAATAAATTTTAAGAAAAATCAAACAAATCCTTATTCTTACAACACCATCAAGGTTGGATCCCATAGGCTCATTGGTAGGAAAATAAATCATTCATTTTTATTTCGATTAATTAAAGACACTCCTAATCTTGTGACGCCGAGAGAGAACAAAAAGATGTATTTGAAAAGAGGATTATTACAAGGTTTTGCTGACAGTCAGAGTAGGAGTTTTTATTTAGTTCTATTTTCATTATGTATTCCTCCTTGACTGTACAGCGCACCAAGCAAGTGGGTTATTGAGGAAGAACCCAGAACTGTAGCGGTGCGCTCGTGCCACCGGAGTCAATTGACCAACCGAACATCGGGGAGGAGATGACCAAGCCCCCGGAGCATGAAGTACCGGTGTTCGATGCTGCTGGCGGAGTTGCAATGCTGTTGGTCGGCGGTGGGAACCACGAAGCCCTAGTTTGATTTTTCTCCGTCAAGGTTCCCAACACAGATCCTCCTGGGAGTTTCTAATAATATAATAAGTAAATAGTTTTATACACACGATATTAGTATTTCCTCAAACTCGTAGTACTTATACATCTGTGGCAATTAAGCGCCAAGTTGGGATTGCAAGCAAAGGTTTGGCCCTTGGCAATGATAGCCCAAACTTTTCACTCATGTCCAGATCACTTGGTGACATGTCATCAGGCAGCTCCCAATCAAAACAATGCACTAATTGGGCGGCCACCAGTCGTACTGTAGTTAAGCCCAATTGCATCCCGGGGCAACCTCTACGGCCCGACCCGAATGGTGTGAGCTGAAAATGCTGGCCTTTTAGGTCGATATCCGACCCAACAAACCTCTCGGGCAGGAATTCGTGAACATTGTCCGACCACACCCTGGGGTCGCGCCCAATTGCCCAGGCATTCACAATGATTCTTGACTTGCTAGGTATGAAGTATTGGTCGAGGAAAATATCCTCCGTTGATTCGCGAGGGCCTAACAATGGAGCGACTGGATGCAGTCGCATAGTCTCCTTGATTATCATGTCTAGGTAATTAAGTTGGGCCAGATCTTCCTCCTCCACCATGCGATCGTCTCCTACGACGTTTTTCAACTCTTCCTTGAGCTTTTTCATCACCCGAGGATGCCTAATGAGTTCTGTCATGATCCAGTCAATCGCAACACTTGAGGTATCAAATGCTCCCACGATCATGTCCACAGCCATTGCTTTGATATTCGTTTGATCGATTGAAATTGATTGCTCCCCATGTTTTATACTCTTCAACGACAGTAGTACATCCAAAAAATCTCTATCATCCTTGCTCTTTCCACTGTCTTGCTCTTGCTCGTGCTCAGTAATAATTATTTGCAAGATTTTATCTAGAGTTTGGGAGGTGGATTTTAACCGACGCGTTATTCCCTGAAAGTGATGAATACTTAAAAATCACTCGTAATAGAAAATAATAAAATAACCTAATTTGACAGCGTATAAAGAAAACCAATATAATCATTTTAGAAATAAAATCCCAGAAAATTACACCATAATAACTACTTAAAAATTTATGGTGATTTCTGATATTTCTTCTCCGCAAAGGATCTATTGGTGTTTGTATTAAAATCTTATTATAATATAAATAAAATAAAATAAATTCTTTGTTATATCAAATGATCTGAATTCACGTTTCTATTCATCTGTACTGTTTCACGTTATCATACAATCACAAGGGGTAGCCAATAGTAGGCTTTTCTATATTAAAATTTGTTTTTATTTTTTAATTAACAATATATATATTTTTAATTATTTATTAAAACATATAAAACTGGCTTTTTAGAAGTTACTTCAGATAAAGCCAATTTTTATTAAAAAATTAATTTTAAAAACTGACTTCTTTTAAAAAATCAATTTTTACCGAACCGGTTTTCAATTAAGGTAGTCGTCCAACCTCTCCTTCTTCTTCAAATTTGCTAACCCAACTTCTCTTATTAAAGAAAAAAAGGAAAAATAAGAGGCATTTTTCACAGAAAATAAGGGGTCTCCGGAGAAGTCCGCTTTACATATTTAAATAAATAATTTTTAAAAAAATATATTTTGATAATGAAAAGAATATTTTTTTTTAAAACTACTTTTACCAGTTTGTGTGTCATTATTTTTGAGATTACTTTTACAATTACCGAATAAAATTAGCTAACTTATATGTTTAAATAAGATATGAAACCCACGAAATAAAAAATAAAAGAGGTCTGAGGATGATATTTTTACACAGAAAGTAATAATTAAATTTAAGAGCAGAGATGGTAAAAAATAAATTTATGAATATAAACCGCGGTAACATTTTCCTTAGCCTTTTGTACTTCTAAAAAAACAATTGGGATTTGGAACCAGAAATGGAAAAAATAAGTTACCTGGAGGTCAATGGGGCCAAGGAATGGCACAAAGTCCGCAATATTGAACATCCCCGCCAATTCCACTGCCTCCTCCACAACCTTCTTCAAATCAATCCTCTCGTCTTTTCTCCTCCCAAACACCATCCTACACGTCAGATCCTCAATCACCTCCGCCACCTTTAAACTCAAATTCACAACCTCACGCGCCGCCGCCGCCCGCCGGAGCCACCGCACCATCGCCACCACCTCTTCCCTCCTCAGCCCCGCAAACCCCTGGATCTTCGCCGGACCCAGAAGCTCCACCACGCACAGCTTCCTCATGGCTCGCCAGTATGGGCTGTAAGCCGAGAAAGCAAGGCCCTTTGAGCCGTAGGACAAGTACTCAAAGGCTTGGATTTTTGGGCGGCTCGCGCAGGCAGAATCGTGGGTCTTGAGGATCAGCTCGGCGGTTTCCGGGGAGGAGAGGATGACGGTTTGGACCGAGCCGAGACGGAGGGACATTATTGGGCCGTACTTTTGGGCAAGGGATTGGAGGGCCTGGTGGGGGAGGCGTCCCAGCATTTGGAGGTTGCCGATAATGGGGAGGGGGGTTGGGCCTGGAGGGAGTTTCCGGCCATCTTTCGGGCAGGCGACGGCGATTCGGCGGCGGTGATAGAGGAGAAGGGAGCAGAGGAGGCCGAGGAGGATGGGTAGGAAGAAAGGGGACATAAATGCAAAACATGAGTGACTGAGATGGAAGGATTGTAACAAACTTGCCTGCAACATATAAATACTAATTGTCACGAAGTTACGTGTGATAGTAAAATAAGATTTATCAACGTCGCCGAGATTTACTAGACGAGGACAAATTTTGTTTTAATATTATACTTTATTGAATTAATTGTATAATTTATATTTAAAAAACTCAATAATAAAACATGATTTGGCATAATATAATCGGAAAAATTAAATTTTTATTATAACTAAAAATATAATTTTATTATTATTAAGTATTCCACGCGTTTCACGTGAATCCTTGTTCCGTGGAAAGATATATACTAGTATTTTATTATTTTTAACTTTTTCCTAAGTCAATTATTCTTCTCTCTTTTTCCAAAGTCAATTATTACTTCTCTCTTTTTTAATTTCTTTTTTTTTTTTTTTGTTTTGTACGCCGAAACTGCAACTTAAGCACACTCTCTCTCTCTCTCTCTCTCTATATATATATATATATATATATATATATACTTTCAAAGGCGGGTAAGCGAGTTAGCAAAAAGAGAGGTGGTGCCACAATAATAGTTTATTATTTTATTATTATTATTATTATTTGGTATAAATAAGATTACTGAGATAATTAGTAACTTATTTAAAATTTTTTTAAAATTTTAAGGATAAAAAGAGTATTTTACAAATTGTTGAAGGTAGAAAAATAATATGGTTTTAGTGGGCAGCACTCTAACAGTTTGTTGGAGTGTGACATGTGGGCATAGTAAGTTTTTTTTTTAATTTTATATTAAGTTAAACAAAGAAAAATTTGTGGGTATAATATTAAATTTTAAATTATTTTATAAACAATTAAAATAAATTTATTTCAATTTTTGTTTTTTAAATTTAAAAATAAAAAACAAAAAATCAAAATTTGTTTTTTGAATTTAAAAATAAAATATAAAAATTCAAAAATTCAAAATATCTAATATTGATATGTATAATTAAAATATCTAAATAATCAATTTTGATTTGATTAAATAAATAAAAATAAAACTTGTTATACACACGTGTCTTTCTCCTAAACTTAATTTTTATTTAATTAAATAAATAAAATGAGGCCACTTTACTGGCCTCATTGGCCGCCACCTCCGAATTGGTTGTTGAGTGTCGTAAATAGATTTTAAAATTTCTAAACATGGATATTTTTTGAAATTTCGTTGAAAAGGAAAGAATTTAGAAAATGAATTTTCTATTGCCAAGAAAAACACTCGACAAAAACAGATCCAATTATGTAATAAAAACTCAACTTATTTCAACACTCAAACGTCCATTCATGACAACTTGCAGGTAAAGTGGAACCTTCTACACAATAAAAAAAAAAATCCAATATTTACTGGCTGTAAAATAGCACATCCACATTTTTAGAACGTGTGTGACATCACCCTTGTCGTTCCTTACCTACCGACTCTTTCAAAACTCAAATGGACCGCGAATTTAATTTAATTTCAATTTTTTTGTTAATCTTTATTTTTAATTAAATAAAATAAAATTTTAATTTATTTTTTTAAAAGTAGAAAAAATGGATAAACAAAGTTTTTACAATTATAAATAAAAGATATATAAAATAGAAAAAAATCCAAAGAAGTGTTAGCGTAATTTACACTTTAAAAAGTGTTTTAGATTTTCTTTTATATCAAAATTGCCCTCACTAGATAATTCGCTTTGCAACTTGATATTCGTCCATTTGAATAAATTTTTCTTGGAAGTAGTTCCTTACAAATTAATTTTTTAAAAAGTTTTTTTTTGAAAAGTCCTTTTTAACTGTTTGGAATGTAAATAATGAAAGTACTTCTCTTTCTTTTTTTTCCTTAAATTGCCAAAAAGGGCTGTAATTTTTTTCCCTCCTTTACTTTCCCTCTTTGCTTTAGGTTTTCAAATAGATGATTGCTGTAGAAGGCGAGGACAGCAAGGAGAAGGCATTGCAAGACAATGAGTAGAAGGCGGTGCAAGACCGCAATCAATGAGGACAACAAGTAGAAGGTGGTGCAGGATGGCAATCATTGAGGAGGATGAGTAGTAGGTAGCGCAATCAATTGGTGAGAAAGACGAGTAGAAGGCGATGCTGTCGATTGGTGAGGATAGTGATCGACAAGGATGGCAATTAGCAATTAATTGGATAATATTGATCATGAGGACTACTGAGGATCAATGGCTAAGACATCTGTCATAACATAAAATCAAACATGTGACCAGCACTTAGACTGAATCATTTATCCCAGCAAGCCTAAGACAAAACTAATGATTATAATTTAAAAATATCTAACATAAACATCACAAGTATATATAAATAGAAGGATCCTGTCTAAAAATAAATGAAGTAACTCTAAAGTATAAACAAATGTAAATAATATTGCCTGTACGTAGGATCAGGCTCATCCGAGAAAATACATACTCTCACTTAATGAAACATGTAGGAAGCAGAACCAACACTATGATTTGAAAAATGTTAGGAAGTGGGTGAGTATAAAACTCAGTAAATGATAATACAAGCTTTAGTCATATTGAGACATACATCATAAAATGTGTAAAATTATATATGTATAATTTAGACAGTAAGCAACTAAGTAAATGATTGAAAATCATAATATATGCCCTATAATACTTGAAAATCAGGTGGGAGCATCATAATAGAACATCATCTAGCGTATCATGCTAGAAGTATCACATAACAAATATCAGATCAAAATTATCTTGTCACAACAGAGTGTATCGTGTTAGATGTATCATACATCACATATCAGATTAGAATCTCATACTAATAGATTGTATAAGATCATTGGTCAAAAATCTCAGGCCCGAAGTATCACATATATAATTTACCACAAATTAGAACGTATATCTCTCATCGCATATATAAAATAAGGTTTAAAAAGGAAGCATGTTTTCAATATTTTTAAACAATCAATATATATGTATTTATTTCAAGTCAAAAGCAAAAGTGTGTAATATTTCAAATCGGCTGACTGCATTTCAAAAACATTTTTAGAATACTTGTCCCAGATTTGGTTATTCAAACCAGTAAATTATATCATAACAAATAATTTATTTGTATCATAAAACTTATTTTTATAATAAATAACTGACTAATATTCAAAACACATACATAGAATAAGTATTATCACTCACAGTAAAAATATGAACTGAAACGTTTGAATATTTGTAATGATAACTCAACAATCGAAGTGTGTATCCTCAGGTATATTTATAATCACAATAACAAAGTATCAATATCAAAGTCAAAACTTAATTAATTAAGGGGTCAACTACTTAAATCGATCCCTAATCCCATTTCAGAACCTAAGCACATATCCCGAGGTTCATATCTAACAGCTGAACCCACAAAAAATCGAAAATGTAAGTCAATTTTAAGTAATAACCCCTTAAACCAAACTAAACAGTTTCAAATACCCCTGAATCAACTTGAATCAGCCTTAAACATCACAAAACTAGACTGAATTAACCTTAAACACTACTAAACTAGTTTAAACAAGCCTCAAACACCATTGAATCACCCTGAACTGGCCTCAAACACCCCTAAACCAACCTTAAAACCCTAAAATTAGACTGGTTTGGTTAATTAAACCACAAAACTAAAATGAACTAGCCCAATTATCAATAAAACTTGATTGAACAGGCCTGAAATTACTCAAAATTAGACTAAACCGGATGAAAAATCCTTAACACCAGACTGAAAGCTCTCAAAATAGTACTATTAAACCTTTGAATCAGTCTGAATTGGTCGACCCTAGCTTAAAGGCTCAAACCAACTTATTGAATTGGGTGGACCTAGTTTGTCTAAGCTGAGCTAGTTTGCCTAGACTAGCTCCAACTTGGATTCATTTGGGTCCTTTCTTCCTTAACCAAAATCTTGGGGACAAACCTAAGTTCTTGCAAATTGAGATTGAACACTCCTAAATCAATTTGAACCCCTTACCTTGTTCTCAATCCTCGATCGATGGCTTGGAAATGAAGGATTTTGACCAACAAGCAAGTCCCTAAACTTGGTTGTTGAGACCACTGACCACACACAGTGAAGTTGGCTTTTTGAGTGATGCATTGCTTTACAAACTGGTTGTGGAAGTTGGTGCTGGCCTGCGGGTGAGCTTCTTATCTAGGATCCTTAGGGAGATGACCTGCAGCTCTTGGACTTTGAATATGTGCAATTTGCTATTAAAAGCTGTCAAGAAAGTTGTAGACAATCACAGTAGACTAGAGTTGAAAACTTGTGCTAAGCATGGGCTAGGGAGGATCTGAATTGAGTAAGAAGCGCTCAAGTGGGCTGCCATTACAATGGTTTGGATCTTGATGCTATTATTTTGGGTTGTAGGGTTGATCTTATGAGCTTGAAGGTATAAGTTGTTGGTATGGAAGCTGGATAGTTGCATTGTATTAAA